TTAAAATTTTTGAACCTATACTGATTGGTATGCTCAACAGATAGTATTCCTGCACTCGTATCAACATCAGGACTAGCAGCCTAGGTTTACCTTGTATTTTACAGGAAGATCGCCATATTGAATGTTTGGTTGTGTCGAGTGAATAAATTTTTCGCTTTTTTTACCAATCAAAATCAGCCTTCAGAAAGAGCTGTTAGCTCTTGTCCAGTTTCTGGGCAAAATGTCCATCTTTCATGGCCAAGTCACAATGTTCAACTCAATTGGTTAAGAGTGTGCTAAATGATAGTGTTTTGTCATATCCTCCTGAGATTTTAACACAACTTACTGGTCTCTCGTTGCCAGTACTGGTATCTTGTGTGTATTTTTCAAGATGGGCATCAACAGACTTCTGATCTAAGAAGAAATGTCCATTATGTTTTGGTTTATTCCACTCAAGCCCTGCAGATCTCCTTCTCACCAGCTGAAAATCAGCATCAAAGCTGAAAATCCTCCTAGATGCCTGTAAAAAAAGTTCAATTAAACGAATTTCCATTGCATATTGACAAAACCTTTTACTCTTTACACCTAAGACAAAAAGAAGAAATAACAGCAAACTAACAATAAAAAGAATGATTTGAGGAAGTTAATAAACACTGTCCACAGGAATATACTGTACTTATGATTATCAACCATCAGTTGGAATTTAAGTAAGAAGTTCAATTAAGATAAGAAGTTCAGTTATATATGATAATTAAATAAAGGACCTTATTGGCCCTGTTAATTAATTTCTTGAGATGGGTCTTACATAATATGTTAAAGATAGCTTGACAGGCATGGTAACATACAGCTGTCAGAAATGATAAAACAGTCTTTAGTGACTAAAGTATGAATTTTCTCATATTAAAGAAATTTTAATAGTTTGAATTCAATGATATATATATTTACTGCCAATTATTTATGCTGAGAAATTCCACCAAATTTTTAAAAATCAATATCAATAACCCAAATACATCAAATTATCTCATCAAAATACATGATCATTAAAATGTTTCATTAAAATAAATTGAAAACTGTAGTCTCTAATGTGTTCACAAACAAATTTTGACACAATTTCTTAAGTCAAGGGCAATAACTCAAAGACCGTTCATTGAAATATCAAATCAAAACTTGTCCAAGATCTCATCAATATAAATGATCACACCAAATTTCATTAAAATCAATTGAAAACTGTAGTCTCTATTGTGTTCACAAACAAATTTTGACGCGTTTTTCTTAAGTCGAGGGTAATAACTCAAAAACCGTTCATCGAAAGATCGTCAAATTCTAACTTGACTAA